GCACCTCAAATGCTTTGCATTGAAGACGACACACACACACACACTCAATTGAGGATGTCAATTGTGACTGAAATGTTATTATTTATTCTTGAAGCTGAAGCGAAAATGTAGTGTTGCTCCCAGCTGCTGCTGCTGCAGCAGTTCCTCTTGACTTCGTCTTCTGATTTCGCTTCTGAAGCTTCTGAAATGTCCTGGAAGGTAGGTCCACGGGATGTTCCTGCTTGTCCTTGACCATTCTTGTTTTCAAGTTCCTGAGTCAAAGTGGTACGTGTTGGCACTACAGGGCAGACTGCAAATCAAATCAATGCGGAATTCGAGTCCAGGCACATCTGAATGGAAGCCCAATCAGTCTGATTTGCAAATTGGTCGGTCCATGTGGTCCAAGCATTTTGCAATGCTGCCCCCATTGATCCGACGACCAACCAATGGACGGCAGGAGATGCTTCTGCTTCCTGATGCACACTTTGGCAGAACCATGGATTGCATTTAAATATTTACATATTACAACCTCAAAACAACATTCGAAAATCTGAAGCTGCTCAGCGACACGTGATGGCCATTGGCGAAGTCGATAATGTGCTGTTGATCGGCAGCGATGGCTCTGTAATCTTCCTTTCTGTGCCTCTGGACTAAAGTGTCGAACCATGCGACGCATTCGATGCCACAGACCTGCACTGACAGCTGATATACTTACAAAAACTAGACAATTGAGTGTCACCTGGACCAATGAGTCAGTTCAGCACAGCGACTTGGAAGAGAGCCATGACCAACGCAATCATGGCACACGTCCTGTGCCATCCCGCCGAACAGCAGATCCTGACAATTGAAGGACCACATAGGAGGGTTATAATTATCCTAGTCCCTGAACCTAAAAAAAACCTCCAAGACCTTCAGCATTCAAAGACTCGAGAAGCCTGAGCAACTTGTCGGGAAAATTGAGGATGAAGTGGAGCGTCTTGAGCGCTGCGGGATGACTATACACCTCGGTCATTAGGGTGAATTCTTATTAAAATTAAAATTAATTATTATACAACTCGATTCATGAAGCAACACCTGTTCGACCAGGCACCTGTTCCATGATATGCTGGTATAGGCCACATTCTCTGCCAAACCTTCCTCCTTCGGCCTCCCTTGGCTTCCATCCATGACTGTCACTGTCACTGCCCTCAATTGTCAATTGAGTGAAACTGAAATGAATGAAAAATGTACAAATGTCATGAAGCTTCGACACGTGCATTGACTGCTGCAAGCGAACCTCCCATTTGTTAGAAAAGTTACATTCCCTGTCCAACCTCTCCAACAAGTCTGCCATCTGAGGTGATGGACGATTTCCATGGGCGGCAACCCCATAACCAACGATCACCACTCTCTTCGGCCAAACGTAGGTTCTGCCGCCCAGGAAAACTGACCTCGAAGTGTTGGAGCAGAAAGCAGCTGCCGAAGAGCTCGGGTTGTCAATAGAGCTCACATCGTCATCAGTAGCATCAATAGCCGGTTCGTGGTCTCTTGTTTCTCTCGGGGTCCTTCCACTTGCGTCCCCAATCGTCCGAGTCGTCTTCTTCTTTGCCCCGCCCCAAGTCACCGGAACTTTTCGTTGAGGCGTCTGCGGCTTTCTTGCTGCCGTAGTTCCCGACATCGAATTGGCTGTATGCTATCCCCAAGCTTTGATTGTGCCTCGAATGAACACGGAATTGTAATGATGAAAGTTTAAGCGCCAAAAAAAAGGGCTGCATCAATCTTTGCCAAAGTGCTCTCTAACGTTCTTGTTACAGGCTGACAGAATCCAGGCTTCTGGTTTCTGGATGCCGTCTCTTCCCCGTTTGAAAGATCTCCTCAAATGTTGTTGCATTGAAACAATGACATGTCAGGTAGCAAATTATTCTCAATTGGAAATTGTCTGAAATGTACTGCAGGTGTCACAAGATCACCAGCCTTTCTCGGGCAGAGCAAATAGAGCAAGTAGATTGCTTGCTGTGCTTTCCGGAGATCCTGGCCCTGCTCCTCGAGACACAATTCCTCAGGGAGATGCTGGAGGGCCACACTCGACATAGCACAACTTGAGCCAGAACTGCAGCATTAGGTTACAAGGGGCTCACAATCAATCACCAAGCAAGCTGACACACACACACACACTCACTGAGCCTTCCGCGCAAATATCACTCACATGCCTTAGAAACGACTTCAGCTGGCAAAATGCAAATTTCATGCCAGCCCTGCCCCCCCCCCCCGGCTCTGTCAAAACATGCCAGGCAGACCACTTGAGCCAGAACTGCAGCATTAGGTTACAAGGGGCTCACAATCAATCACCAAGCAAGCTGACACACACGCACACACACACACACACACACTCACTGAGCCTTCCGCGCAAATATCACTCACATGCCTTCTGAAACGACTTCACCTGGCAAAATGCAAATTTCATGCCAGCCCTGCCCCCCCCCGGCTCTGTCAAAACATGCCAGGCAGACCTTGCCATTGATGCTACCACAATAGTTATACTACCGCAAATCATGCTACCACAATTAGCGCTACCACAATTGTTGCTACCACAATTGACAAATTGATGCTACCAGAACTGATGCTACCAGAATTGATGCCACTGCAAAATCGAATCAACCAAGCCAAGCAATGCCATGCTGACTACCACAGTTGCTGCTACCAGAACTGATGGTATCAGAATTGATGCCACCGCAAAATCGAATCAGATGCCACCGCAACAATCGAAGCAATCAAGCCATGCAATGCCATGCTGACTACCACCATTGACATTGATGATGCTACCAGAATTGATGCCACTGCAGCATCGAATCAACCAAGCCAAGCAATGCCATGCTGACTACCACAATTGATTGATGCTACCAGAATTGATGCCACTGCAGAATCGAATCAACCAAGCCAAGCAATGCCATGCCGACACAGTAACGGCCTCCCCAGCGTCTTTGCAAACACGAGTGTGCTCTGACAGTCATGCGGACTGGAGACTTCTTTAAATGCCACCCCCATTCGGCCAAGATGGGGTCACCCTGCTGAGTATGCGCCGGCAAATCAGATGCGCCTATGCGGAGCGCTGAAATCCAATTGCCTTGCATACCGGCCCGCAAGAGGACAGGTCATGCTCGTCATCGAGTGCACCGGAATCGCTGCGCAACGCGCCGGTTACTGAAGACCTGTCAATGAGGCACAGCATAAGATGCCATGCGGGGCCATGCCGGCAAGCAGCAGTGATCGAAGTTAATATTTCGACCGTGGTGTGGGTACGTGGCATAGTATTTATTAATAGTAGCGAGGCCTTCCCTGCAATCTGTGTGCATTTCACCCCGCGGCGGACACACCACCTGGCTGGACAGGCGAGCAGCACACAGAGTAAATCCCCAGCGCCCGGCCAGCGACGCTGTCCCGCACGGATCAAGGACCCATTGCTCACGTGGTCCGAGCCCGACTGGAGCGGTCTCTAAGACCACTCTGAGCTTGGGCGTGCAGGATGGGTAGGGCGAGTCGAACCAAGCCAAGCAAGCCAAGCAAGCCAAGCAAGCCAACCAAGCAACCAAGCCAACCAAGCAGTGGCACGTGACAAAGGACCACGTTTCAGCTTCCAACACATCCGGCTTGGACAGAAGCGAACACCATCGCTCAATACATCCGGCTTGGACAAATGCAAAAATGTTTGGCAAAAAAGGGTTTCCTCACGCTGGCTTCCAGTGTGCTTTAAAATGTTTTGGTCAACGGCCGTGCCCCCGGCACTGAAATTCCTAATAAAATACATAAATAAGCTAATACTACAACAGCTTGAAACCTTAAATCGGTATATTGAACTGCACTATTGAGGAAATTGGTTTTGGCCTTCAAACCCCCCTGATCCAGCCCCCAAGGATCCAACCCTCAAAACGAGTGTGTGGAATTGTCAACCTCTTGAACCGCATCGAACGAAAACCGGTTGGTTTCAGTCTGAAGGGCAGGTTGACAGTGTCGCCCAGTACCGTGTACTCCCGGCGGATCTGGCTGCCAACAGTGCCTGGGCATCGATTTGGGCTTCGTCGTCAGCCGTCGGACTTGCATGGACTCGCGGTTGTTAAACCTAACCAGTCTGACGCCGGCACACTCGAGGCATGTCGCACTTTCGAGGGGGCGGAGTCAAGATGGGCAACCACAGGGAAGAGGATTGGCCAACTTGCAAGCCATGTGTTCCTTATGTCTGCCGTAAAACGTTTGGAGCAGCAGCCACAAAATCAAACTTTGGCCAACAACTTCCTTCATTGCTAACTCCAGTCTTGGCCGGGCACGCTCACAGAGGCTCGTGCAAAGACAAGCAAAACTCCTGAAGCCGACCTTTCCTGTGCATGACGCCAGGCAGCCACACCATACGGTGCCAGTGGCGACTCCTGCCCGACCCTGCAGTCCCTCCTGCAGCTGGGGAAGTCCAATGTTTTCAAGGTCTAGCTCGCGTAAGGGACAATATATATCGGATAACGATAATCCATGTGACGCCAGTCTCGAGTCCAGCAAGGTTTCAAAACGGAGGTTGAAACTGACTACTCTTCGCATCGCACGCACATCCGTCAAGCTGGCAACATGATTCCGCGAGAATTCCTCAGCAAACACTCTGCGAGAACGTGCGCTGCCTGCCTCAGCCAGAGAATCACAAAAGCGCGCAGCGGTGAGGACAGCTCGCAGCCTCAGAAAAAGCAAGATGAAACTACTTGCGAGTGATCTCTTTGGGCCTGCGAGGTAGGTGTGGGCATGCTCTAGGAGGTTGGCCTGGATTGTCAGGCGATCCCATCCGTGGAATTCTTGCACTTTCGAAAACGCAGTATACTCTGTCAAGGCAAAGACACAGATTATTTCTGAGGGAAGCTCAGCTCCACCTAGCACACGCAACAACCTGCACTGAAAACTACACGTTTTGGCGGGGCTGCATGCGAAATTATGGGAGCATATCCGAAACACACCTCGCTGGAGAGTTGGATGTGTTCCGAATACGTAGCGGAATGCTTTCCAGGAGCGGGTCGTCGATGTAGTGGTTCCTGAGCCATTTTGCGGACACAGTTTTGGCGGTGCGACGGGTCTCATCAGTCAGAGACTGTCCGACACATCATGCACCAGGCAACCCCCTGAATCGAGTTAGACCAGTCTCAACGGCGGAAGTCCGAAGGCGCAAAGAAGCAGCATGCCTGTAGACCGAGAGCGCTGCAGCAGGCATTCAGGGAGGAACGCCCTCCCCCCCCCACACACAGACACACCCAGATGTATACATACACATACACATCTGTACAGATACATATAACCAATAAACAAGCATATGCAAATAAATGAATAAAGAAGTGTGTGTGTGTGTGTATATGTATATGTATATATATATATATATATATACATACATACATATACACACACACACACACACCAGCGCGCGCCTGAGTCGACCCTCGAGAAGCTGTTCGTGGGGTAACAATGCAGCTTACTTCTTCCGTTCCTCGAACCTTCATTGCCACTTCTTCTGCTATGTGTTGCGGTTTGCTGGGCTTGCCCTTTGCTAGTCAGAAGCGCAGGTAGATGATGCAAACAGCGACCTAACTTGGTTGGGTCAGGACAGTCACTGGAAGCCTGACCACCCCGTTTCTTTCAACCTCTCCTTTGCCAAGGTGTCACACACGCACGCACACACACACACACAGCTGGCAAAGTGATGTAGTATGCTTGAGATGATTCATCAGATGATTGGTTTGATTAACTATCTGACCAGTTTGAATGGGTCAACACGTAAATATTCTGAATTTGTGGGAGGCTTTGGGTAGCCTCGATCTTCCCACTGCCTGCACATGCCAGAACATCAGGTGTCCTTTGAACGCATGGCAGGGAGCATCTTGACTTTGGACACACACGACTTTTGACTGCAACCACAGATACTATGAGATTGACAGGTTTAGACTGATGTTGAACCATCGGAATTAGAGCTCAAGTTTGCATTCAGCTCGACGTACCATGCCTCGAGGGAGAAAATCAGGATATGTTCCGTGGTTCTACGGAATCAATCGCATGCAGCTCATGACCCAGCCTCCGGCTGCACGCTGTCACACTGCGTTGTTATGTGACTAATGCACTTCGTGCAACTCACGTACAAATGAATGAATGAATAAATGAATGGACTAGATGAACGAGTGATTGCATATGTGTATAGTACAGTGTATGTCATGCATGTATTATATATACATATATACATATGTATATATGTATATATGTACGTCGGTGTGTATGTATATGTGTGTGTACGTATGCGTACGTATATATGTATGTCTGCAGGCCTGTGCTTTGTAGGATAAGTCTTTTCATACTTGCTTCCCACACTGACAACCTGTATCTATTCGCGTGCATTGACCTAGAGACAGCTGCGATACGAACAATGCAGTTTCCACAGAAAACTCACGATTGCGCACACACACACAAACAAAAATCACGAACACACGCGGTGCAGGCACGCACGCGCGTACACGCACGGACAGACACCCACCCACTCCCAGCTACCCACCCGCGGGTCGGTCGAAGCCTCACTGCAAACCTGCAGAGTGTAAAGACGTAACCATCGCTCCACAGGCCTTTGTCATCCACAAGGAATTTGTTGACGCTACCTCCATCAGGGGACGGTTCTGGCGTACCATTGCATTGCAGTATGTTGTTGAGCCTGCCACACCGACCACTCTGCTCACATTGCTATGGCACACGGTGAGATTTGTTGAGATTGCCGCGGAGCTGTCGAAAACGGCAACATCTTCCGCGGCTACACACCGTCCCTTGGCCACCAGCCTTCGAAGGCGTAGCAGGACTGCTGCAAGAGCTTCACGACCTGAGCAGATCTATCGACCGCAGAAACTTCGTTCTGAGATCAAGCCTCGTCACACCAAGGTTTCGTGTGCATCGCCGCCTTAGGAGCCTAGAAAGGGCTTAGCGGTCTAGCGCTTCGGGCTTGAGGCTTCGCAACGAAGACACTTGGTCCGTGCCCCCTAAGCAGCCAACTCACAGAATACCGAACCTCCAATGTAACATACCCCGAAGCGCGGCGGTTCTGGACTCAGTCTTTTGCGAACGGTCTTTGCTGCATCACCACTGAATCGACCCTGCACAGATTGGACGAGAGTGCCTGTTGCGTACGCAGATCATCTCCGGTGGGTGTCAGCGATCCAGGATTGAGGCCTGGCGTGAAGATAGGAGGGTCCTGCACTACGGTTTTCATCTGCTCAACATCATCCCCGCAAACCCAATACCATGCAGCGGCTGCCTCAATTTGCAGGTTCTCACGGTGACACAGCTACATTTGTGTTGCCTCAACATGCTGCAAAGGCCTTCGGGCTTAACCGCCGCCGCGTAAAGTCTCAACATCCAAAACCCAGGAGAATTTCCGCTGCTAGCAGGCTGGCACAGGGACGCCTCGGATAGAAAGGAAGATCACAGAGACGCGGCGCATCTCGGGCTGTAGACCTGAAGGACGCAGGCACCGACATGCCGGATGCAAGCAGAGGAACCCCGCCAGTCATGCTCAGCACAGTATCGTAACGGTACCAACTTGTGAATTCTTTGGAAGTTCCGCTGCTCATCCTGTGACGGAAGTCCCAGACTTAGCTGCATATCTGCGAGATGCAGCAATTTTCATGAATCTACGCGTCGTGTAGTAGTCTTGTGAGTTGGGACGAGGTCCATAACTCACCGACGTGAGCATTCTGGTCTTCCGAGGTTGCCTCACTTTGCACCCAGTCTGTGCAGACCATCTTCACCACCACATGCCTACAATCAAGCGATCAGCCTGCCTCACTGATGACAAGACAACGGATACATTTGTTGTCTGATGCCACCCATCATTTCATCATTATCTTCTGAAATCTGCGACTGTTCTTACACAGCTCGTGCCGGAGGGAGGGAGGGAGCGAGAGAGAAAGGTGTGTGTGTTTTTTGTGTCTGTCTGTCAGTCTGTCTCTCGGTCCCATGCAGGTCCAAGGCATGACAGAGGTTGAGGCCCGGACCCAGGATCAATGCCTCTACAGATGTTTGGGAGAGATTCCTGGCCATAGGAAGGCTTCTCGACTCGGACCAGAACCCTGTTGTCATGTGCCACATTTACAGCCTATTAGATGTGCAAGCAGCGGGCACGTGCTAGCTGCCATGGCCAATAAGATGAAGACTGCAACTTGGAATCGCCTCTTGGCCGCCTGTGGCACGTAACGTTGGACGACACTGGCATCCAGCGTGCGCCGCGCTGGCGAGCGTGGGTGCTCCTGCGGGGAACTGCTGGCAGGGGCTTTACTGCTCCGTTGAGTCTCGATAGTTCCGATGATTCAAACCCGGTTCTCATACTGCTGCAACCGAAGTCGAACCAGCATGAATGTACCGAACAACAGTGGCTCACGCGACAAGTCTTGCAAAGCCTGCATCCTTCATCCTTTCTCTTATTAGAAGGCATGTCTCGGCGTGTGCTTTAGTCAGCGCCATGTTGCACCCCTCGCATGGCAGATGCTCGTGCTTGCACTGATCGGCCGCGCAGAGAGAAGAACGAGGGACACGGCAAAAGCAAAACCATGTGCGGCGGAAACTTCTTTGGAACGTTTGGCAGTTGAATCCCAGCCTCTCCCCATACCTGTTTTCCAAATGCAAGAGCGTGGGCAAACTGGAGCCGGCCCTGTGTCGCTCACCGGCCCCAAGGCCGCAAACGTCGAGGCACCGCGCAAAGCGCAACTCTGAGGCCACGGACGAACTTGCTCGAGCTGGAGGTTTGTATTCGTTTTTGCAGGTTATCCCGCCCCACAACAAGCAGTTGCAAAAGCAGTCAAAGATGGAGAACACCAGAATCTCAGCTGCTGAAGCCACGAACAGGATCGCAAGCCCACCACAAATCAGACGAGTGGGTCTCAAACAGGCACCAATGCACATGTCTTGTCATGACTGCTCGGCGTCTGCTCATGCTTATTTGAGCATGCCTTCGTCTAGGGGCTTACACACAAAGCCAAAGAAATACTCGTGGGTAGTGTTCAAAGCAGCCGTGTGAAGCGACGGCGGGAAAAGGATGCAGTCAACCGACGGCTTCGGCCTCGTCTTGGCTTTTGCACTTTCTCTCACCTGTCTCTTCTTCTGCAGGGCTTGGGAGGCTTGTCAGGCCCCCCGGCCACACCCCCATGTGTTATGGGGTTTTTGGTACGGCGTGAAAAGGCGAGCGAATCCCCCTGATGTGCAAAAGAAGTTTACTGGCCTATGGATTATCAGGGTTCCTCTGCAAGCTGTCGACACATGCACAAGTATTGTTGTCAGTTCCTGGGTTCCTCATCATACAACACGATCATAAACCCTCCTAGGGATGAGAAGATAGCTGTGAAACTTCTGGGGACCCAAGTCGACCGCTCCACGGTCTGTGTGCGACATGTGTGTTTGAGGTTCCTGGTGTGTCCCCCGATTTATAGTAATGTCATACCCCATCAGAGGATCTAGGCTAGAGTACATCGTTAGGGGGGTCACTCGGAGTGTTTACAAAAATTGACACTTTGGCAGCTCCTAGCCCAATACAGGTCGTGATTCTTTGGTTGTGCTGTCGGTCCCCCTTTCCCCAGCTTCTTCATGCGACAGGCAGTTAAGACTCACATCCCACTACAGTTATGATATGAAGCCGAGCGTTCGGGGAGCCGAGTGGTCACGGAACCTGGGTCGGACCTGATACAGCGTGTATGCATCTGTTCCCTAGCCAGCTGGGAGAACAATACAAAACAAGTTATAAGTTAAGCTGTTTGTCCCCCCATTGGCCCTCAGCTCACGGCTCAGTGGAGCAAGTCATCTCAAAGCTCCGTGCGGGGAATCGTGTAGCTGAGCGAGTCGTTGATTGTTGGTCCCCCGGTCACATGCCCTGCTCATGGAGGTGGATCGCCAAGTCTCTTCGTCGCCTGTGACTGTCGTTGGATCCTTCCTTCGCTTCCTCTGAGGATGGGCTGCGAGGTCGGTGGGTTCCCCGTTGACGTGGCGACTGGGGAGCTGTAGCACGTCGTACGTCCCCCAGGCCGTGGTGTCGTTCTGCAGTCCACCACTGGCTTGGGTCCCCGGCAGTCCATGTCTTTCCTCAGGGATGAGTCGAGAGATCCCCCTGACCAGGTTCATGGCCGCCTCCTGCAACCTAGGTAAAAAGGCCGCCGGATACTTTCCCACTTCGCCAGGATCGCGTGTATGATGTCGACAGCATGGCACCAATGCGGTGTGGCTGTTTCGGCGGCCATCAAGCTGCACTCTGTTTGCCCGGGGCTTTGACTGACCACGTCTGCCGGGTGGGATAGGATCTGACCGGCAACGAACACCTCGAGCGTGTCCCCCACTTCTACCAGCTGTGCCGAGTTGGCTGTTTGTGCACCACCATCTAAGATGGCATTCAGGACCTCTCGAAGCGGGGTCAACGCCGGAGGCAGCTGCAGATGAACTGCGATGTCCCCCGGGTCCCCGGGTTGATCGTCTCAAGCCATCGCAAAAGGTCGGCTATCATGGGGGCTACCGTAGCATATGTGACACATTGGGCTGCTGCTGTCATTTGTACTCGGCCAATATTTCGGAGGTCTTGTGCTCTTTTAGTGTTGCTGTAACAATGTCTTTTTGGCTTGCCTGCTGCAGGCTTGGTCCACCACTGCTGGCTGCCGCGTTCCCCGTGTCATCCGCCGCTGTGTGTGGTTGTCCTATTGGAAGGTCTTCCATTGCTTCGAGTTCAGCTGCTGTTTGGCTGTCCACCAACAGGTCTGCTAATGCATGTGTGGCTCTCTCTACTATCTGTGCTCCTTGGCTGTCGTCATAGCGTTCCGCTATGCGGCGGATTGCCATAAAATATTGTTCTACTCTTTCCCAGGAGCGTAGGGGAGTCTGCACTGTTGTTGCTTGTGCTTGTCCTGTGGTGGGTGCCTCTGCAGACTCTGTTGCTGCATCGTTGTCGATGGTGGTGGGGGCTGAGCTTTGTGGTACTGTTGCTGGTATCTTGTTGAAGACAGAGGACATTGTCTGCATCAGCGAGGGGCTATCGCCTCTCTCTCTCTCTCTCTCTCTCTCTCTTTTTTGCTTTTCTCAGGGGTGCGAGCTGCAGGCAGTCCTTGCAGCCCGCGCTCTTTGCTTTGCTTTGCTCTGGGGTAAGACTCTGACTCTCTCCCTCTCTCTCTCTCTCTCTCTCTGCACATCTCTGCACCCTCCGCTCGCTTGAAGCTGCCTTTCCACTCCCCAGCGGAGCAGCTGTGGAAGTGAGGAGGGCGTAGCCGGGTTGCTCCGGAAAGCCGGCCTGGCGTTTCACCAACCAAGGCTGCAAGAGGGGCTGTGCGGCTTTTGCCCTGCAGAGCGCAGCTCGCAAAATTGAGACCAAGCCAAGCCATTGAACAGGCCTCGAAGCAGAACTCGCTGCTCTGTCCTCAGAAGTGCTGTTGCATCTGCTTGTACAGCGGGCTCAGTCCGAGTCTAAGTCTAGGTCTTGAGGTTTGGGCCCACACAAACCATATTTGATGTTCCAAGGCTCCTTTCGAAGCCAGTACCTCCTGAACACTCGAGCTGACAACGGTCTCACCAGAATGAGCCAAAGGTTCCGCGATCGCCACCTCCATGCAAAGATCAGCTTCGACAAATTGTTAGTTTGGGAGAAGATACGTGCTTGTACGAAGACACTCTCGCCGAGCTTGAACGTTCAACAGAACCTGTGCTCTTATGATTGACAGCCTCCTCCAGCGGCTGCCCAGCTGCACAAAACTCCCAGCGATCCAGGACTCCACCTCAAACTTCGTTTCATCATGGGCCTTCTGCGCTGTTCTGTGAAGAGCCCGGATGCAGCATGGCGCCCGGCCCAGCTGCAAAAGTGTCAGCGGGCCGAAGCCCACGCCGATGTGTAGCGTCAGAACCACACCGGGCACGGGCGTGGCTCCGAAGCTGGACCTCGACTTCTTTGCACCTACCTTCCAAGCTCCTCGGAAATCTAACCTGGACCAGATTACCAACCGGAATCGCTATCCTGACCCATTCGCACGTGCACATACAGATAGTGATAGAGAGAGGGGACAGAGAGGGAGAAACAGAGAGAGAGAGAGAGCGAGAGACAAAAGCATAGGAACATCAACGCTCCCATGCAGCAAGCGCTATACCCCTCCTTCATACAGCTAGCCTGTCAGGCAGTGGATGGATCCCGTAACATGTGTCAACGGACTCTTGTACTCCTGGTTGGAGGCCTGTTTTTCATGGTTGCACGGCTTCGGCGTGATGATCTGCTGATCTGCAATCGTAGCACCGAGATGCGACAATGCCAGGTACCCTCTTCTTCGATTATAGGGACTAGCAGGTGTCCTGTGGCAATATCGGCCAACCATAATACAGCGTGATCCTACGATGTTATGATGCGAATATGGTACATGGAATTGCAACTAGACCGCGTCGACTTGTACATCTTGCAGATCGCCAGTCCGGGGTTCTCCTGGTACCGCACGAAACCCGAAAATCACGTAGACGGCACCGCGGCCCCCTCGCATGCAATCAATCAGATAATCAGGATCTGCCTGGCCCGGGAAATGACAACGTGTCATATGGTTGCACTTTGGCAGCCCGAACCCACAGGTTTGGCAAAGTTTACAGATCACACCAGCCCTGAGCCGAATGCATAATTCAAAGCCAGCTACACGCGGCTTTGAACCTCCATGCAGCACCGGCAAGCGTTTGCCGCGGCGCTGAAGCGCGCCTTTGTTCAGTGCAACTCGCAATGTCCGTGCGTCGAACAAACATCCAGCATGAAATGACATTAGCACCACGAAGTTCCACGAAGACATACCTGGTAGGAGGAAGACCTTGGAACATGCATATCTGCATGCGCACAACACACACACACACACCTGCCTATCTAGCTGCTTATCTATCTATCTGTCGCTATATTTGTCGTCCATCTAACGTAAAAGCTGCTAGCTATCGATCCATCTCCCTCTCTCGTTCTCTCTTTCTCTTTGTCATCTACCTACCTATCTATAAAGCTAGACATGCAGGCATACGTGCATGCATACATACATGCAGACATAGATACATACATACGGACATACATATGGTGTATTGCCACGTCACGTACTGCATTGCATTTCAGTACCTGACACTACATGGCCGTGGGTCAAAAAACCCCGTGTTGTCGCGCCCCCCCCCCCCTGTTGCAAACCCTTGTCGCGCCGGCGTGTTTCAAACCCTTGTCGCGCGACATTGCTGGGCACCTCCATAGTAGTAGCAGAAGTAGTAGTAGTAGTAGTAGCAGTAGTAGCAGTAGTAGTGGTGGTGGTGTAGTGCAGTAATTGGCAGTAGTCCACTAATTGGCAGTAATGCAGTAATTAATGACCAGTATTGCAGTCATTGGCCGTAGTGCAGCAATTGGCAGTACTGCAGTGATGACCAGTAGTGCAGTAATTGGCAGTAGTGCAGTAATGACCAGTAATGCAGTGATTGGCAGTAGTGCGGCAATTGGCAGTAGTGCAGCAATTGGCAGTAGTGCAGTGATGACCCGTAGTGCAGCAATTGGCAGTAGTGCAGTAATGACCAGTAGTGCAGTAATTGGCAGTAGTGCAGTACTGACTAGTAGTGCGGTAATTGGCAGTAGTGCAGCAATTGGCAGTAGTGTGGTAATTGGCAGTAGTGCACTAATTGGCAGTAGTGCAGCAATGACCAGTAGTGCAGTACTTGGCAATAGTGCAGTGATGACCAGTAGTGCAGTAGTTGGCAGTAATGCAGCAATTGGCAGTAGTGCAGCAATTGGCAGTACTCTCGACGCAGGGTGCCCAGAGCTTTTGGTCACCCCAAAATCTCGATTCCGGGTGGGGAAAGGGCCCAAACGACACCCCTAGGGATTGAACCAGGGGCCTTTTCCCTGCCTCTCATGCAAAGCCTCCGCCTGCTCGTTATGCTATGGAAGGATAGCTTTGGGAGGGGCGGCCACCGAATCATTAGTTTGGGGGGAGTCCAGGCGCCGTCATTTGGGGCAGTAATTGGCAGTAGTGCACTGATGACCAGTACTGGTCATTGCTGCACTACTGCCAATGAGTGCACTACTGCCAATCAGCGCACTACACTACTGCCACTTGGCAGTAGTGCAGTGATGACCAGTAGTGCAGTAATCGGCAGTAATGCAGCAATTGGCAGTAGTGCAATAGTGACCAGTAGTGCAACACTTCCACAACACTCCACAACACTTCCACAACACGTCCACAACACCTCCACAACACCTCCACAACACTTCCACAACACTTCCACAACACCTCCACAACACCTCCACAACACTTCCACAACACCTCCACACAACTTCCACAACACCTCCACAGCAATTAGCAGTAGTGCAGTAATTGGTAGTACAGCAATTGGCAGTAGTGCAGTAATTGGCAGTAGTGCAGCAATGACCAGTATTGCAGTACTTGGCAGGAGTGCAGTGATGACCAGTAGTGCAGTAATTGGCAGTAGTGCAGTAATGACCAGTACTGGTCATTGCTGCACTACTGCCAATGAGTGCACTACTGCCAAGTAGCGCACTACACTACTGCCACTTGGCAGTAGGGCAGTGATGACCAGTAGTGCAGTAATCGGCAGTAATGCAGCAATTGGCAGTAGTGCAGCAATTGGCAGTAGTGCAATAGTGAACAGTAGTGCAACACTTCCACAACACTCCACAACACTTCCACAAAACCTCCACAACACCTCCACAACACTTCCACAACACCTCCACAACACTTCCACAACACTTCCACAACACTTCCACAACACCCCCACAACACCTCCACAACACTTCCACAGCACTTCCACAACACCTCCACAACACCTCCACAACACTTCCACAACACTTCCACAAAACCGCCACAGCAATTAGCAGCAGCGCAGTAGTTGGTAGTACAGCAATTGGCAGTAGTGCAGTAATTGGCAGTAGTGCAGCAATGACCAGTAGTGCAGTACTTGGCAGGAGTGCAGTGATGACCAGTAGTGCAGTAGTTGGCAGTAGTGCAGTAATGACCAGTAATTGGCAGTAGTGCAGCAATTGGCAGTAGTGCAGCAATTGGCAGTAGCGCAGTGATGACCAGTTGTGCAGTAATTGGCAGTAATGCAGCAATTGGCAGTACTCTCGACGCAGGGTGCCCAGAGCTTTTGGTCACCCCAAAATCTCGATTCCAGGTGGGGAAAGGGCCCAAACGACCTGCCCGGGGATTGAGCCAAGAGCCTTTTCCCTACCTCTTATGCAAAGCCTCCGCCTGCCCGTTAGGCTATGGAAGGATAGTTCCGGGAAAGGCGTCCACCCTCCCTGGGGTTTTGAAGAGACTCCAGGCGCCCTCATTTGGGCAGTAATTGGCAGTAGTGCAGTAATGACCAGTACTGGTCATTGCTGCACTACTGCCAAAGAGTGCAATACTGCCAATTACCGCACTACAAGTCAATACTGCACTACTGCCAATTACTGCACTACTGGTCATTACTGCACTACCTGCACTAGTGCAGTACTTGGCAGTAGTGCAGTGATGACCAGCAGTGCAGTAATTGGCAGTAATGCAGCAATTGGCAGTAGTGCAGCAATTGGCAGTAGTGCACCTCCACAGCACTTCCACAACACTTCCACAAAACCTCCACAACACCTCCACAACACTTCCACAACACTTCCACAACACCTCCACAACACTTCCACAACACTTCCACAACACGTCCACAACACCCCCACAACACCTCCACAACACTTCCACAACACTTCCACAACACCTCCACAACACCTCCACAACACCTCCACAACACTTCCACAACACTTCCACAACACCGCCACAGCAATTAGCAGCAGCGCAGTAACTGGTAGTACAGCAATTGGCGGTAGTGCAGTACTTGGCAGGAGTGCAGTGATGACCAGTAGTGCAGCAATTGGCAGTAGTGCAGCAATTGGCAGTAGTGCAGCAATGACCAGTAGTGCAGTAATGCAGTAATGACCAGTATTGCAGTCATTGGCCGTAGTGCAGCAATTGGCAGTACTGCAGTGATGACCTGTAGTGCAGTAATTGGCAGTAGTGCAGTAATGACCAGTATTGCAGTAATTGGCAGTAGTGCAGCAATTGGCAGTAGTGCAGTGATGACCAGTAGTGCAGTAATTGGCAGTAGCGCAGTAATGACCAGCAGTGCAGTAATTGGCAGTAGTGCAGTATTGACTAGTAGTGCGGTAATTGGCAGTAGTGCAGCAATTGGCAGTAGTGTGGTAATTGGCAGTAGTGCACTAATTGGCAGTAGTGCAGCAATGACCAGTAGTGCAGTACTTGGCAGTAGTGCAGTGATGACCAGTAGTGCAGTAATTGGCAGTAATGCAGCCATTGGCAGTAGTGCAGCAATTGGCAGTACTCTCGACGCAGGGTGCCCAGAGCTTTTGGTCACCCCAAAATCTCGATTCCGGGTGGGGAAAGGGCAAACGACCCGCCCGGGGATTGAGCCAGGGGCTTTTTCCCTGCCTCACATGCAAAACCTCCACCTGCCCGTTAGGCTATGGAAGGATAGCTCTGGTGCAGGCGGCCACCCCATTAGGAGTTTTGGAAAGACTCCAGGCGCCGTCATTTGGGGCCTTTCCCCCCATCCAGAATCGAAACTTTGAAATGACCCAAATCCGCCAAGAGCATAACCAAACCCACTCAAAACCGAGCAAACCCGCCGAAACCCTCCCAAACCCACCCATTCCCACTTGCCCATGCCCCTTTGCCCAAATGCAACTGGTGCTGGTGCTCTACTCGACTGCCTGCTACTACTGCTGCCACTACGACACAGAACCTACATACCTAAATATATACACAATATAAATCTATACACATGTACACATACATACATGCTGGACCTTGTCGCAGAAACCCGCTTTTGTTACATACTTTGTCGCGCGAGGGGCGCCCCGGCCCTGTTACATACCAGAAGTTTTTGACTCACTGCCACATTGATCTACAGTACATCCTACAATATTTGCAACCCTCTTGCGCAGGGAGCATTTGGATGATTGAAAAAGCCAGCCACCGAGTACAAAACAGATTGCGACACCATGTGCGCTGACATAGCATGATAGCACGGCATTAGAAAAACAGTCGAACTCGATTAGGAGCGACAAAAGCACCTAACATGCACGTCAACGTTTTCAGCAGCGTGGGTCAGCCAAAGCAAGACCTCCCAAGCTTCTGGGTCACAGCCGGCGGTGATCTCCCGACATAGCAGGCATCTTTACCCGCAAAGATGAAATAAACTTGCAAGACTGACATAACAATTATGAAAACAAGCCGCCGATAGAATCACGCGACCAAGAACGACAAACATCATCGTTGTATTTGCCAACCCAGCAAGAACAGGAACTAATCCGCCGAGGCCAGAGGCCCAGGCGTTTTGGTGGTTACCTCAGCGAAATGATTGACACCCTGTTTTTGCGTTCGTTTGCCACCCCCTTGCCCGGCTTCCCCTCATTTTACCTGATTTGTCGGCCTCCCCCCCCCCCTCCCAGGCCTCCCTTCCCTCATTTTACATGATTTGTCGCCTCCCCTTCTCTCCCCCCCACTGCCCCTCCCCCCCTTCCACCTCCCCCCCCTCCCCCCCTCCCCCCCCCTCCCCGCCCTCCCCCCCTCCCTCCCCCTGTGCCCGTTTTCCTGGCACTTCGTGTAAAGCTTGGGGTTTGACAGGCCGCCCTAGCATAAAAGAACATCGACTGCCCCCTCGCCCTGCCGCTACACAGCCGAGGCAGGCGGCGTAGCGTTAAAATTAACAACAGTGCAAGAAAACAGAGCGCAGTAATGCGAAATCGCATCATGTAATACCTTCAAGCGCTGCGAGATAGAGCACAAGACACTGGTGGATCATGCCTTGAGCCCGCGATCATGTGTTAGCTGAAGATCCTGCTCTCCCAGCGATTGGCTGCTCATGCGATTCAATTCGCAATTTGGGGTGGCGGGTCAGCGCATCACCGCATCAGCGCTCTAGGAGCATTGGCCGATGTATTGGAGCTCACTTTGGAGATGGTACTTGCAATAGAGACCGGGGATCGGGACGACAGCTTCTTCAACTAGCATTATGAGTTGCCGCGAGGTTGCATCAGCTTTGCTCACCGGCGGCAGGGTGCCTTAGACACTGCTGCACAACATTTAACAACTCAGACAACGGCGCATTGTCGTGCTGTACCCCGATGAATGATGCGCTGAATACACAATAATACTACATTTTCTATCAACAGAGCGAGAACTCTAAATGCCCGGAGCTAAAGTGCAGTGCCTTCAAATAATAGCATCCCCCAGACTAAGACCTTGCAGTGCCCCAGATATCTTTGACAAACCTCGGGCACATGGGACATGAACTCACATTATGCGGCAACTTTTCAACCCAGGGTGCATACTGCGTGATTGCTTTGCAAACTTCCAACATCGAGCACCGGACAAGATGAATTGGTGGATTTGCTCGGTGATCGGGAACGCCATGGAACGCCTGCCAGATTCTGCACGAAATACATGTCTTAGGCATTGAATCCACTGAAGAGACACTCCCCTCGAAGATAGAACCGAGCAGGAAATGGCAACAATGTGCGTCAATCATTGCAGGTCGATCTGCCAAGATACGGCTAATGCTCTGCCTTCGTCCTCTACTCGCCAAAGGATGGTCAGGGCATCCCCGCTGAACTTCAGCACATCTCCTCCATGACCTCTCACTTACATACAGACAGGGTTGGAACATGTCGGAACAGAACCGCAGCCTCATTCTGTACGTCGGTCCCTTTCACACTGAGAACCCCACGGGTGATGATCTCAATGAGGGCGCCGAAAAAGTTGTTCAAACATGAACCAATCTCTTCGGCCTGTGTCTGCAAAACCGGTGGCAGCAATGCATGCAGGCATCGCTTGTCCTGTTCGAGTGCCAAGAGTTTGCTAAAGCTCATGTGAAACTCAGCCTTCGTGCGGCTTGCAAATTGGGGAAACTTACTTAACCTCAGAGCTCAGGGCACTGCCTTGCGATCACCTTGATAGTAAGATGCTAGTCCCACTACTTGGTCCCCTTGTTATGTGTTGTATGCTACAGACGGTTCCGGGTTATGCGCTTAAGATGCACTCCAATTTTGCTCTGTTATTTTGGCACTGCGTATGGGCACGAGGGGACCTTGGGGGCGTGCGGGGTGGGGGAGGTTCGGGAGGTTAGGCTTAGGGCTTGTGGGGGAGTGAAGCTCGTCTTTTCGCTCTGCCGAGCCGAGTTGCTCCGTGAGCCTGTCGCGCCAGGGACTCCGTCAGCGCTGTGAAGCCCGAGGCGTCCATGAAAACGACGACTGCTTCGAAGCGGCCCTCCGACAAAGAGGCAGGGCGGCATAGCGGCACAGTGCAGGCTCTGCTACACCACTCTTGCGTGCTGTCTTATCAGGATCTTCTCCCTGATTCTCCCTCCCTTTCAAGAGACACATTTCGTCCTTGCTGGCATTGTACTTGCTGTGCTTGTCCTCCAGGATTGCTCGAGGGAAGTCCTCCTTGCAAATGATGCCTGCTGCATTGAAGCAAGCCGGCTCGCATCAAGGACAGATCGTGGGGTTTCGTACGGACAGCGGTCTCAAGTTGACATACTCGAAGCTGTGCTTGGAATTTTCACCCGGCATCGACATCAATTTAGCAACTCTGCAGTGTGGAATGTATACTTAAGCTGTTTGCCGCCATGACACAAGTCTCACTTGTGGGAAATCTCACAGGTAGACCCCCGTCTTGATATGTTGATTTGCTGGCCTTGCTCGATGGCATCGCACACGGTGTGAGACAGGTACCTGCTGGCACCGACAGAGGGCAGACATCAAATGCTGCCTGATAATCATCGCGCTTTCTAATTCCTTTGAATTTGACGGATTGAGGGCGACCCCCTTCGTGACTAGGCCAGGCCGACCCCACCGCGTTTTGAAGCCCGGATGCTGCAGCATCGAATTCTGTAATAGCTGCGGCCGCCGGACGACGGACCTGCAACGCAGTATCGCCGTATCATGCCGTGCATTGCGCAGCCTGAGGGAAGACCTCGGGAGTACTTGGGAAGCAAACACTACCGATAAGCCTTGCATTGCTTGCATTGAATCCCCTGCGCCTAAAACTCGCTGAATCAAAGTCGCCAGATGTCGACAGCATGTCTGCAAAGTTTACGCATATTCGCCTTCGCGTTGGCGTTAACGATGGCTGAGGAGCAGCTTCGCTGCCCTCTGCCTGCTGGGCTTCCACCAGCTTGCCTGAATAGGAAGACGTTTGCGATCGACGCACTCATGGCCATGTTCAGCTGAAACCATCATCTAGATTCCAAGGCAGTACAAAGAGCAAAGGACCCTCTGTCTGCTTCCACATTTCACCATCGCAGTGACATAAGCCTTCATGTAGACGACAGCATGCGCTTCGTTGTTGTTGAGACAAGCTGGTTAAGATGCTTTGAGTGATGAAGCTCGCTTAGCAGGCACCTCTTGGTTCGGCCATCAGAAAGCAAATAGGCTGGTTTGCAGCACTTGGCACGCGTGCTGTTTTCAACCTCCTTCTCCGCCACCAGGGCGTAGTACCTATCGTTTGCGATCTTCCGTTGCAGGGTGTGACAAATTCCGTCTTCACTGGGCCCAAGAGCTTACAATGTGTGACAGCGTGTATCAAGGAATCGACTGTTCAACTTGGCAGTTTCTCACAGTCATAGCAGTACATATACTTTAGAATGCAGTCCGGCTGTGTGAATCTTCGCAGGAATTGTAATGGCCGGAGTTGGCTGGCTGCTTACTGTTGTGGGCCCCTCTTGTTCAAACACGACTCCAGCTCTGCACCCCAAGTCCAGAAACCCTTGCCTTCAGGACTCCCTCTGAATCTCTTCTTTGCGGTCGGTGTCCGATCTTTGTCTTGTCTTATACTGAACTCAGGGGGCTCAGAACAGCCGAGTGGCCTGCAAAACCCCCCTCTCCTACGGTAACATACGTCAACCAAAACCCGTACATGTTCTGGCTCTCTGCTCTAACCAAGGCTAACCAACAGATTTTGGGGTCGACGTGGCGTCGGTCAGAGAGCTTACGGTTACGGTCGGCAGTGCAATGCATTCCCAGCCCCAAGCGTCCACAGAAGCAAGCATTTCGACTTCGACCCTGGCCAACACCTCCACGTGTCCGTGCCATCAAGCTCGTCTGTGTCGTCTCGCACGAAGCTGGTCCTGGTCAGAGAAGCAACGGGTACTTGTCTGACCTGGCCCACATCTGGCTGCTGGTGTCTGGGTGCACGGCAGCTTTGAGTAATCTCTGGTGGGTCTCCGGGCAGGAGCGCTGTGCATATCTTCTGCCGGCACCTGCAGAAGGGTAAGTAGTGATTTGGCATCCGCACCCTGCCAGCCGACTCCGGTCAATCCACGGTGACAGCATTACGAACTCAAACTTTGCTTGACTGCTGCTACATACTACCACTCTTACGTGGCCATGAACCGTTACCAGTCTGCTTCATGTCTGTGGCTGGCTTCATGTTGAAAAGGTTCTGATGGCTTCATCTGTGTTGAACTGATTCGGATTTGAAGTAATTCCGGATTCGACTTCCAAGCCTTGCTTGATCCAAGCATGTCTTTGCACATATTTTGTGGCGCCCTCGAAACATCTTGACACGTCTCTCGACCTCCACAGCAGTATGACAAAACATCTCCTCCTCTCCTTCTCGACCGACCGAGATGAAATGCGATGCAGTGATACGCTGAAACATCGAACGAGATCGTTCAGAACACTAGCCTTTCAAGCAACTCTACCCCTGGAGTTTCGGGCGTTCTCTCTTTTCCGTCAGCTTTGTGCTGTCCCAGGCGATGTTTGCTTGCCCCCTCTCCTTCCCCAACATCGCTGGAACTGGCTACGCAGACCGCGTGCGGCCAGCAGACATTGCGCTACTCCCGAGCCGAAGATCGGTTGGCCGTTGTCTGCCATGGTGTTGCTTTTCAGATTTTTCCTCCGCAGAAAGCAGTAAAGATGAGAAAAGCACAGCTTCGACGAGCTGCCATTTTCTTTCCTAGCATTCTGCTCAGTTCTGGGCTCGCACTCCACGCTGCAGGATCCTCGCTCTTGCTCGGCCTGCTCTTCGGGAACATCTTCTGGTGCGATGGAGACCGTAGTGGCCTTGTGGCCAACATCGAGAACGTCTACAACTCTTCCCCACCCACTGCTTTGATTCCACATGTGCCATCCAAGGGATCCAAAACATGTATATGTCAATGGGAAGGCTAGCGATCGCTACCCCTATTTGTCAGGCTGGCCACATCGAGCAGCCTGCCATATAACATGCCTCGTGGTGGGTCCCCAAACTGATCACTGAGCATCATCGAGTGTCAAGGGGCTTTTCCTTGGACCATGCGAACACCCTAGAATTCCCAGCACCCTCGCGGTGAGTGGCCTTTCGTCTGCCATCGCCGTTGGCACGAGGCTGGGCGGGGAGAGCCTGCTTCTGCCCGAAGAAATAAATTTCAGTTGCACAGACCTTCCGGCTTGCGGGAAACCCGGATACCCATGACAGTCTAGCATTCAGGCAGCGAAAGATTTGTTATGGCAATGCCGAGAGAAAATACGACTGCACTTGATTCTCACAGAGAAGTACTTCGCTTTCATGAGCATGTCCAGAAACACCAGCTTCGCCAAAAGGGGCTGCCACTAGCAACGTGAAGGTGAAACCTGACGCATTTACGAGCCTCGAGCCCTGAATACAACACCAGCCGATCAAACGAAGGGCAGGCCGCAAGGCTGTCTAGCCGATACCATAC